TTTAACCTCGCATTTTGGTACTGAGGCAGCTCTTGCTTCAACTATAGAAGTAGTCAGAGATTCAAGAGCATAATTAATTTCATCTTTGGTTTGCAAAGGAATGTTTGGATCGAAGTTATATTCCATAAATGTTCGATATTGCTCCCAATCAGCCCTATGGTAATTGAAAGTAGAGCTGTTGGGATTAGAAATTATTTCTTGGGATATTTCAAAAGTTACTGGAAGGTGATCAGAACCGAAGTCAGCATGGGTAACCAATTGGCTACAAAGATGACATGAATCAGTTAAGACCAAATCAATAGTTGAGGGATTTCTTGCAGAAGAAAAGCATGTTGGGCTGTTTGGATATTGAATAGTGTAATAACCTGCAGAACAATCATCAAACAGAATATTACCATTGGAATTGCTTTGAGCATTATTCCATGAGCGGTGTTTTGCATTAAAATCACCAATAATGAAGAATTTAGACCTATGACGGGTAAGTTTCTGGAGGTCACCCTTGAGAAAATTCTTTTGCTGGCCTACGCATTGGAATGGCAAATAGGCAGCTATAAACGTAAGTTGTCCAAATTTTGTTTCAACAGAAACTCCCAAAGTTTCAAAAACTTTGGTTTCAAATGAAGAAAGAATTTTATGCTTGATTCGTCTATGAATAATGATGGCAACGCCACCACAGGGTCCATCAAGACGATCATTTCTATAAATCAAGTAATTTGCGTCCTTCTTAACCTTATGGTCAGGTTTAAGGAACGTTTCAGTTATAACGGCAATATGCACGTTATGAACTCTCAAAAAATTAAATAGCTCGTCTTCATTATCTTTAAGAGATCGAGCATTCCAATTTAAAATGTTTAATGCTTTAAAATCCATTACTGAATTTTAAAGTCATGACAATATTATTAGCAAATTTTACTCCAGTTTGAATAGCATCAAACATGGAGTTAGATTTAAGCATATCAGAAATCATGTCAATTAATGAATTCTGTAAAAATTCCATTTTAGGAGCAGTAATGCTTCCTAAGTCAAAATTGTCAAAATTTCCGTTAGAACGTTGGTTAGTATTTTGATTTCTACCCGCTGCAATAGCAGCATAGGTAGCTCCATTAACTCGCTGAACATTGTTAGCAGCGAGAGGAGTAGGTACAGATGAAACATTTGAAGCAGGGGTGATATTTGTACCTACGGGTACGAATGTAGAATTTGTTCCTCGCTGACCGTTGTTAACAGCAGAGGAATTTGTACCTGGTCGGAAACGTGGAGCGTTTCCTACCTGGCGGTTAGAACGAGATTGTAGGATCGCTTTGCGAGTCTTACATTCCCAAAAATTGGATTTGTGGTTTTCACCACAATTTGAACATTTAAATTTCTTAGGATCTTCCTTCACAGGACAGTCGTCCTTTGCGTGAGAGGAATCACCACAATTCATGCATTTAGCTGGCATGTAGCAATTTTTAGTTCCGTGACCCCGGATACGCCTTCACATATTCGTCCTTCCTTGTCATCCGATAGACGGCACTTGGGGCCAGCTTGTACCGGTCTCTGATTTCAGCTTCGATAAACTTCGGGTCAAAGTTTAGTAGGCCCCTAATGACGACCTTGAATGGCTTCTCACCGGGAATGTCGTGGGTGAAGAATTCCACCTTGGAAGTCCTCAGGTGGGCGACGACCAAGTCATACTCCTTTTTGGTACGGAGCACCACCTTGGTGCCAACTCTGCCCAACTTGTATTCGGCTTTAACGCCCAGCGTCGCTAGATCTGCGATGAGCTCATTAAGATGGGCATTTTTCACTACCAATGGAGGTAGCTTCACTTTTGCCGCACTCGGACCGGCAGAATTTTCGTTGCCGATGGCGTCGCCGAAATCACCGATGTCGCTGGCGTTCGTCACAGTGACATCGGACTGGCCTCGATTCTTCTTTCTCTTCTTGCTGCGTTTTTCCAACACAGCTGGCTGGATATTCCCATCCATGGGGAGAACAGCAAACCTGTTCGAGGTAGGCACACCGGAGCTTCCTTCACCGGGGTTCTCGACCTTCGCCGGACTTCGCGACCGATGCTTCCCCATTTCGGGGCACACACACACGCATGACAAACCGCGAAAGAGAGCGCGAACACTATCGCCACGAACTTTTCAAACAACTCGAGAGAGCGAGCTAACACCGAACTGAACTGCTTGACGAACAAGCAGAGAATCATGCATCTACAAGGAAAGCCTGTGGTGCGATTCAATAAATAATACGGCACTGGACATCGAACGAAACACTAGATGCTAACGACACCACCAAATGGGAGGGGCTTTGGTTAGCTACTGTAAGGACGAATGCAACAATTAAGGGCATATCAACTGCAGTTCCTCCTCTTTTTACGGTTTTGTCGCTTGTCAATCTGACATGAAAAAATAATCATTTTTCGAAAGCTAGAAAATCATGCCCCACCCATTTTAGGTATTTTATCATACATTTCATCTGCTGTGCCTTTCTACATTGAAATTATGCGTTGTATATAAACAGAATATCAGTGTCCACTCAGCTAAAACTCTTCCTCTTTTAAGTTTTTCTCGTTAAACACCTTCTCTTAGTAAATCTTAGCCTTTAGCAGAAAGTCGCTTAACACTTTTTTCAACGAATTTATGATCCTCAAGGTTCCTCTCTATGCCTGTTCAGATACATTAGTTCTTTTATTTATTTTCTCTTCTGCGCTAAATAAAACGAGTAGAAACAAGAAAGGATGTAGGTTACGCGCTCGAATAATTGAAAAGTAGATAAATATTTATAGCTGCATTTTTTTTTTACAATTAATCGTTAATCGAATCATTGAAATTTTAGGTTTCCCTAGAAAATAGTGTAATTTCATGTTTTTTGGTGGTCCTTCGAAAATGTCGAATAGCAGAATTGCAACCAGCAAGTGTATCCAAGAACCAAAAGCAGTGCGATGCTAGTTTTCATTGCTATGACGAAGACTGAATTAAGAGGCTTAGAAGCAAAGGGGTGAAAGTGAATTCTCTTCATCGATTTCCTATTTTGATGACCGTGACTTCACTTACCTATTTCGCACTATTTCTGCTATGCTCTTCTATCATTCAAAACAACAAACGTATCAATGAATGTGTTTGCCGTCGAGTTATTAACGAAACAGAAAGTCGATGAAGAGAATCGATCAAAATCATGAAATTCTGTAAAAATTCCATTTTAGGAGCAGTAATGCTTCCTAAGTCAAAATTGTCAAAATTTCCGTTAGAACGTTGGTTAGTATTTTGATTTCTACCCGCTGCAATAGCAGCATAGGTAGCTCCATTAACTCGCTGAACATTGTTAGCAGCGAGAGGAGTAGGTACAGATGAAACATTTGAAGCAGGGGTGATATTTGTACCTACGGGTACGAATGTAGAATTTGTTCCTCGCTGACCGTTGTTAACAGCAGAGGAATTTGTACCTGGTCGGAAACGTGGAGCGTTTCCTACCTGGCGGTTAGAACGAGATTGTAGGATCGCTTTGCGAGTCTTACATTCCCAAAAATTGGATTTGTGGTTTTCACCACAATTTGAACATTTAAATTTCTTAGGATCTTCCTTCACAGGACAGTCGTCCTTTGCGTGAGAGGAATCACCACAATTCATGCATTTAGCTGGCATGTAGCAATTTTTAGTTCCGTGACCCCATCCCTGGCACTTACGGCACTGAGTGAGGTTTTGAAAATTTCCTCCAGTCTTCCTGAAGTGTTCCCACTTCACTCGGACATGGAGCATAAGGGTAGCTTTTTCTAAAGCCTTAAGGTTGTTTAGTTCACTAGACTTGAAGTGAACTAAATAAAAATCATTAGAAATCCCGTTGCGCGAATCGCCAGGACGGGATTTCATTTTCATTTTGATTACTTGGAGTGGCACAACTCCAAGTAATTTTGCCAGTTCATCTTTGATCTGATCCAGGGATTCACCACTGGGCAGTCCTTTCATAACAACCTTGAACACACGTTCAGTTTTGGTGTCGTAAGTAAAAAATTTGTGCTTCTTCTCAGTAAGATACTTGAGAAGACATTTAAATCCGTCCAAGGTTTCAGCCAATACACGGCATTCACCCCGACGTCCAATTTGTAGTGAAAACTTAACTTTCACGAAATTCAAAAGTTCCATGCGAAGAGCATGGAAATCGGTAGTGGTTATCACAATAGGGGGAATCTTTTCCTTCTTGGCATTAAGCCGGGAAAGTTTACTAGAATTTTTCTTGGATGATGGATCATTCTCATCATCCGTGAGCAAATCAAATTGATTACTCAAATTAATTTCTTCAGAAGGGGGGTCAAGAGTTTGCCCCTTTCTTTTGCGTTTAGGCGCCATGGCGGCAGTAAATTTTTTATCCAAATCGACTTCCAAGCAGATTACTATAAGAATCTGAAGGATCGAAGAGGAATTTTCCAAATCGATATCCAAGAAGGATTACCTCGGGTAGGGTCCAAACAAGGATCGAAGAGGAATAAGAGGAGTTGAACAAGGTAGAAAATTTTTACAGGTTGAGCACTGAAAAGTGCGATTATGCGATTATCCAAATCGACTTCCAAGCAGATTACTATAAGAATCTGAAGGATCGAAGAGGAATTTTCCAAATCGATATCCAAGAAGGATTACCTCGGGTAGGGTCCAAACAAGGATCGAAGAGGAATAAGAGGAGTTGAACAAGGTAGAAATTTTTTACAGGTTGAGCACTGAAAAGTGCTGTTTAAATTTGTTGTAGCTTTAGGTAGTAGTAACACTTCCTTAAGCAAAAAGCAAATAGATCCGCACGGCAAGAGAGCACGATGCGGACTGTTGTTGACCAACTTTATTTACGCTTCCCGCCGGCACAGTATCACCAGTCAGTGACATTGACTTTGTGGTGGAAAATTTATAGCCCAAAGTGCTACCCCAAGATCATTTTTCCTTCCATTCCCGCATTGGGCAGCACTAACTTTCAAGGACGCGCCATAAATTTCCCCTCCTGAAACCCGGTAGTAGTAATTTACTTACCAAAATAATACTGCTGGCACTGAAAACGTAACCACTGAACAGGTTCTCACTGTTCAAGTACACCAAGTAGAACGTGTGGCACAGCACGTTGGATACGAACAGCATGGCGGTCCGGTACAGCAGCCCTATCCTGCGAATGAGAAAACAACTATCAAGTAAAAACGACTGTCAAAAAGTATGGGATGAAGGTAAGTGTACCAAGAAAACGATCCGGCGACGACGGATAGGAACGGGCGGTTGGGGGAATTTGCTAATAGTTTAAATTTTGTCCGATAAAACAGCGTAAAATTGGGGTGTTTATTGGGAGGGACTGAATTCGTTTCGTGGCTTTGAAAGACGAGGGAAAAGCCGAAGGGTCCAAACATAAGGCAACTTCCCGTAAGAGAATGGAGAAAACTTTTCCGTAAGGTGAAGTAGAACACAAAGTTTGCGTTTTTTGCCGTGATTCCAATTTCGGTTTTTATTTTTTCATCCGATGGTGCTGCTATGGTCATGTGCAAAAGTTTCCGGTCGGGATTTGCAGGTGAAAAAATGGCGCAATGTTATGCTGTGTGTGTTGTACATGCATATATGGCTTGTATGTAGTCGGCGGAAGTTATAAACCGACTACCGTGGTCATGACAGCGAATAGAAACAATTTCCTCAATTTTCCAAGGGAAATGTACAACAATAATAACCATGTCTGCATGAAGCTGGGATGTAAGTTTTTCTAGTGTGGTTTGAGTTGCTCAATATGCTTGGTCGTGTAGCAGCTGCTTGAATGTTTAAATTTCCGCTTTGAAATCACAGGACAATAGTTTATTTGGACGGAAATTTGTTTGGGTGAGCTGTGCGAAATGCTCACTTAATGTGTTCAGATGGGAATTAGATTTTGGAATGATGTGTGGCAGTTAAGATTTTGATGACACGATGTGTATCGTAGAACAAATTTCAAAAATAAAGCACTTTTCCCTTTCATTTGAGATGCCGTGCTGAATTAATCCACCTGTTTATGGTTAAATAAGACCCTTCTTACTAATAAAAATTGCTCATGATTTAATAGATGAATCCTGATGTGATTTAAGGTTTCGCATGATGAATTTTGACTCATGAGAAACTGGTCGCTTTCCGGGGGTTCCTAAAACAAGACCAGATATGGCCAGTGTGGTTCTGGGCTCTGCAAATTATTACCATTGAACTGGATACAAATAGCTCTCCTTCTTCAAATTCATCATCTATACATGCTGCCAACAATGTTCAGCAAGTAAATAAAGCTACCGATGCTGGTATTGCTGCTGGTTCTACTATTGAAATCAAAATTCTAGTCAACATAATTATGATGATTTTGGCTTACAGAAATCTTTAATCGATATGATTACTTATATGCTGAAAACTTACTCCATGTTTGATGCTATTCAAACGGGAGTTAAATTTGCAAACAATATCGTCATGACTTTGAAATTCAGTAATGGATTTTAAATCATTAAATATTTTTAAAGACACTCAAGAGAAGCTATTTAAGGCTTCGAGAGTTCATAACGTGCATATTGCGTTTACAACTGAGACGTACCTTAAACCTGACCATAAGGTTAAAAGATACGCAAATTATTTAATTTGTCAAAATGACCTTCTTGATGAAGCCGGTGGTGTCGTTGCCATCATTGTTCATAGGCGTATCAAACATGAAATTATTTCTTCATTTGAATCCAAAGTTTTTGAAACTTTGAGAGTTTCTGTCGAAACACAATTTGGACAACTTACGTTTATAGCTGCCTATTTTCCATACCAATGCGTAGGTAAGCAACATAATTTTCTTAACGGTGACCTTCAGAAACTTCCCCCGTCATAGGTCTAAATTATTCATTATTGGTGATTTTAATGCAAAACACCACTCATGGAATAATGCTCAAAGCAATTCCAATGATAATATTCTGTTTGATGACTGTTCACACTTTTCAATATCCATACAGCCCAAAATATTTTTTTGAGATTTTTAGCCAAAGGCTAGTTTATCTCTTACCCAACATGCTTTTCTTCATCAAGAAGTCCCTCAACTATTGATTTGGTCTTAACTGATTCATGTCAACTTTGTAGCCATTGGTTACCCATGCTGACTTCGGTTCTGATCACCATCCAGTAACTTTTGAAGTATCCCAAGAAATAGTTTCTAATCCAACAACAACTCTACTTTCAATTACCATAGAGCTGATTGGGACCAATGTCGAAAATTTATGGTATATAACTTCGATTCCAATATTCCTTTGGGACCCCAACCAAATATGGTGTTAATTATGCTCTTGAATCCCTGACTACTTCTATGGTTGAAACAAGAGCTGCCTCAGTACCAAAATGCGAGGTTAAATTCGATTCAATTATAATAGATGACGATCTTCAGCTCTTTATTCGTCTGAAAAATGTCCGTAGGAGGCAATAACAAAGAACACGTGATCCTTCCATGAAAGTTATATGGCGGGATATGCAAAAACAAAATTAAAAGTGATTTTTTGTCCTTTTTTTTTTGTTAATTACTTTATTTGTACAGGCTCAATCGAATAAACTTTACAGAGCCAAGTTATCATTTTCTTTATACATTATGAATGTCTTAAATCTAAATTTAAAGGATTGGAACCGATTACTCGCGGTCTTCTCGAGGTTAGTGGATGACAATTGTTTGGATCGGGAGAGGGAAAAGGAGATTTGGAATATGATTTATGATTCAAAAATTTCACTATTTCTAAAACATATACTTAATCCTATCGACGTTATATCAACTCTGTAATTATACAATTATTACAGAAACAAATCTGCAAAAAAAAACATACACACACACATACAAAACACAAACTAAACACAAGGTTAATCAAGCTTACAATCTATGGCTAATATTCTTCAAGAACACATATATCATTTGCATAAACTCCAGATCGCGTCTAGCCAAAATATCCCGAACTGGAACATTAGGTTGTCTACCTCGAGCCCGAAGGGAATCGTACAACTCGGATCTGACTCCACGGTGCTCAGCACATGACCAAATAATGTGATCTACGTCCTGGTAACCTTGTCCACATTCACAGAGATTACTGTCCCCCAGCTCAACACGGAACAAGTGAGCGTTTAACGAGTAGTGATTGGACATGAGGCGAGACATCATACGAATGAAGTCTCGACCCACATCCAACCCCTTGAACCAAGGACACTTCGACACCTTAGGGATGAGATTCTTTGTCCTGAGGATTCTTTGTCCTGAGGAACAACAATTTTGAGAATAATGTTTCGGGTCTAATGAGTTTTAAACCCTTATGGAAGGTCACTACAATTTTGAAAAAACAACCCCTGAAAAGCCTATTCCAGATGGTAAAACTTTGATCGCAAATTCGGGAGAAGCTCAGAAACTTGCTAAGCAATTCGAGATTTCCCATAATTTCAATTGAGGTCTTACTAGTCCTATTGAGAATCACGTTGCTCGAGAATATCTGCATATTTTCTCTCGGGAAAATATTTTTGAGAATTCCTGGGCGACTGATTTGAACGAATTAAGATCTATAACTAAACAATTTCAAAATATGAAAGCTCCAATTGATGATGAAATTTTCTATTACCTTGTCTTTCTTGGTAAAATTATTTAACAGATGTTTCCATTTGGCATATTTCCTGATAAATGAAAAAAATCAAAAGTTGTTCCAAATTTTGAAGCCAAAGCTGAAGCTTCTAGGTACCGTACAAAAGCTTTGCAATAAGTAAAAACGATAATTTAGAATAGAATGAGGCTTCACATCAATATGAACTCATTGTTTGCAGATGAGCAGTTCAAACTAATCTGAATGCTGCTTGGAGTTGCACTTATAGACATAGAAAGAGCAGTCGACAGTGTTTGGCAGGAAGGTTTGATTGCTTAATAGAAAAAGTTTAATTTTACACTCTATATTATGAAACTAGTTCAAAATTATTTAACTGACAGAACTCTGCAGGTAAATGATCAAAATCCCAAATCTGCACGACTACCTGTTAGAGCTGGAGTTTCTCAGGGTAGCATTCTTGGGCCTATAAAGCTTGAGTCATTTAATATCTGGACGCACTGTTTATTTTACTGCAGTGCTCCTAGCGGTCGGATCTGGAATGTTGAACTTTCTACAGAACAACTGATGGCTACACACCAAGCAATCATTACCAAAATTGCTAGACAAAGGAAAGAAGCACTTAAATCATAATTATTATGTGTAAAACCCAGGAAACAGCAGACTGGTTATGTAGCATAATTCCTACTTTAAAACCCTGGTTTGGGGCTGAACTTACTGTGGTGGAGGAAAAAGACATCTCTCGTCCAGAAAAACACATTGGGTTTTTTCTATGAAGTGCTGAAGATAGCAATGAAGGGATTTTTGCACTCTTAGAGAACTAAAACGATGGGTTAATAGTGGATGCATGGAGAATACTCTAGTGCAATAGTATAAACCAACAACATGTTGAACTAATCTTCGCTGTGGATGGAGCTTCTATGAACTATATCAAAGATTGTGACTTTGTGCTAGATTTTTAATTTGGAAACGTTCAAATTAGAAAGAAATTCTTGAGGAGAAATCTGGCGCAACAAAAAGAATCAAATGATCGTGGAAGACCAGAAAACAGGAGTGACCATGACTCCGATAAAATCCCAGGATCCTGTGGTGCCAAGGGCATGGGAGAAAAACTAGATTCTGGTCATATCACAAACACAGTCAACGAGAGCACAAACGATGATCGAGTGACAAATACAGGATCAGCGCTGGGATACAGAGAAATAAATCTCCAGTTGGGCAAAAAGTACGACCCAATAATCGTGGCAAACCCAATCAACAACATGACAAGTAAGCAAATAAAATGTATTCAAGTGAATCTGCATTATGCAAAAGGAGCAACGCTGTACTTTACAAACGATTCACAGAAAGCAAACTGGATGTAGCACTAATAAATAACGCCATGGGAAAATTAGAGTAGGATTCTAGGCATTCCTACAACATCATGTAATTTAATTTATGATTAAGGGCAGCTATTCTCCAATAGCTGCCATTATAGTAAACGAAAAAGCTAAAACAAAATCGATTACAGAATTTTTTAAAAGAGACATCGGAGCAATCATGATGGAGGTGCTAAAAACCCACGGCAAAACAGAAA